TAAAATTCCATGTTTAAAATGTATACATTATAGTTGAGATTTTATATGGCAATAATAACATCATATGTCTTCTTCTTTCTTTATTTTTTCTTTTTTTGTATTAACATCAAGTTAAAAGTTCTATTTCAATATCTTTCTTTTATTTAATTAAATTTTAGACATCCTCATTAAGTTGACTTTGTTACATCAATAATTATTTATTGTGGGACATTCTTTTAATAAAACATGCAATAATTATATGGCTAGACAAGTAGCTATATTGCTTGAACAATGTTTTAATCTACCTCTACTTCTCCTTGTTTGATTTTGAATAATAAACTATCATTATTGTATAAAAATATATGCAAGGAAATAACCCATGTTGTCATATTTTAGTGGAATGTGGCTCGTCTTATCTCTCAAATGCATTGAACATTGCAAACATTGAAAGTCATTTAATTAAATTTAACTTCCCACGCGAAAGACTTTGAAAGACTCGCTTACAGAATTTAAATCTGCATTGAGACTGTCAAGGTATCATAACTTTTAGATCCACACAACTGAATTATTGAACAGATGCAACATGTTCTTTTTCTTTTTCTTTTTCAACTAATCAGAAATGTGAAAGTGAATATACTACGGGTGTCGCAACACGGAAAACAGTTTTGCTGTTTGTCCAAGCACGTGAAGCTCATTTGTCAACTGTGGTTTGACCTAAAACCTACACAACCTACATCTTAAGATCGCCCCAGAAAGTCTACGAATTGTTACTGTGGTACAACCACTCCTGGAAGCATGAGATTGGTAGCAGATCCTTTCTGCTCGAAAATGTGGAAAGTTGCAAAAGATTCCTTGACGCCAGGATTTGTCGTTGCATCCTTGTGATGGCCAGTGCCCTAGTCACTATGGTTGTGGGAGAACGGGCGGGTCGCTTGCTCAATCGCTCCTTCCCATTGTCCTATCTGCTCCGATTTTGCACTGCGATCAGCCTTGCTGATTTCAGGATTGAAAACTAAACTCAGGTTTCCGTTTCTCCACCCCTTCCATGCTTTCAACCCATTCTGAATGAAGAACAAGTACGCTGCCAGCAGTCGTATCTGGCTGAGACTGCTAGACATCCTCCGATGGTCATCGCTGATAGCCAGTCCCAGAAGTGCCGCCAGAAGGATGAGGCCGTTGTGCTGGGTGGACAAATATGGAAGGTTGTAGAATTTGGGTAATGAGAGGTAGTCTTTCTGGAAGTAGAGCCGGTGGCAGATGAACCCGGCCATGGGCAGAGTGGCCACCTGCAGCAGGAACGGTGTAACTGGAATGATGCCGCCGAGGAACAGTCCTACAAGGCAGAGATAGGCGACAGTCATGCCGATCAAGTGCACGAAAACACTGCGATCTAGTCCCAGTCGCACGACGAGCGTTAATTTTCGTGCTCTGGTATCCCCAACCACATCCGCCATGTTCATGACCATCATCCGGACGAATTCAACCACAGCTGGGGGAAGCAACCACAGCAGCAACGAGGGGTCCGACTCGCCGTTCCGGTGCAAGAGGAATCCCAGCAGAGGCACCAGCGTGTTGAGCACCAACATGACATCGAATTCTCCAAGCCCGTTGGTCCCCATCTCCAATGGGGGAGCGGAGTACCCAATCGAGAAGATGATAATGACGACCCCGAGCACCTTGGTTTCCACGCTCGGGAACCCTCCGAACACCAAACTCATGCTGACAGCAGTCATAGCCCACCCGAACCAGTAGGACGTGTTGGGAAGCACCCTCCCGCTCACGAGAACTCGACTCCCCCCAGTCCACGGCGATGGAAACTGGTGCGCCAGGTCCGCTGGGAAGTCATAATACTCATTGAAGAAGTGGGTGAGCATGTGCGTGCAGCTCACGAACAGTTGCCCGATGAGGAACAACTTGAGTGAGAAGGAGTCGGCGCTGTTCCCTGCCGTTGCGCATGTCACTCCAGCTGCATACGCGATGGGAGAGTACAGCAGAAACTTGACTCGTCCCAGCTCCAGGAACAGCATCACGCGACGTCGCAGCCAATGCAGCAACTGGGACGCCGTCGAGTACGTCGCCATAATTGCATGAACCTCTGGGAGCTTTGCATTGGACATCGACATGGTCGAAAACTGATACGCTCTTGGACTCCGGTCGAACGATTCAGCGACCCAAGAGGTGAGGAGGAGGAGCTCAAGAAATACTGGAACCTGGTGGCAATTTTTGGATTGGCACAGTCCACAGCGTTCTATATACATTATGTCCCAAGATCAGCGTGCGCTAATAGGAAAACGACATGAATCCAGAGCCCGTTCCCTGCTGCGTTCCCGAATATCTACAGTTCTGGGCTGATTCGATGCTCCATCTGCACCACCCACTGTACACTACTTTTTGAGGGAGCAAGTTTGCGGCTCAGTTTGTCATTCTTTCTAATGCTCTCAAAGTCACGCAAGTTACCCGGTTCTGAAGTGCTTCAAAACTAGCATTTGCGTAAGTAGCGTTTACTTCGACACACGACGACGTCACAGGTGCTGAATCTTCAAACTTCGCCGCTCTTCCTGGACCCAAGCCCCACTTGGTTATGCTAGTGACGAATGGAAATTGTGTCTTGTTACACAAATGCCATGAAGGTTCAGCGTCAACTTTGGCTCCTCAAAAGTGGAGGATCAAAAATACGTGTTGTTCAAAATTACTGATATATATCTTCAAACTCGTTTTCTAAGTTATCAAATCTGATTGATCCAAAAACAATGGAGATCAAAATTCTCATACAAAAGATCTGGAACAAATGAATCTGAAACAAAAGAATTGATTTAATCAACAGAAACCAATTTGAATTCTTGAAATAAATACTTAGAAGGTATGAAAGCCATAAAATGATACACAAAATGATGTCAACCATATATTAATTACAATACAGTAATAATTCCTCTACAGATTGGATGTGTCGGGCCTGAGGTATAAGTTTAAAGTTGTAACTTCAAAAGAAGACACTAGAAGAAACAAAAGCAGAAAACAGAATGAAACATACAAAATAAGAAAAAATGCAAAGATAATTAATCCTGATTCAGAAAGATTCCAACAGTATGAATAATTTTTTGAAAGCAAATATAATTGCACCACGGAAGATGCTTTGATGGAAAGCCAGTTTCAGGATTTTAAATAAAATTACAAATTAGACGTTTGTTTTACCTTTTTCTTTAAAAAAGTGCGATTTAAAAACTCTTCAGATAATCGTTATCCCAAAGTAGATGAATTTAAGAGAAAAAGTCCTTACAATAGATTGCCTTATAAACTTCATAAAGGTGATTTTTAAAATTGTATTTATAATCACTCAATCATGTCTTAGAATTCTAGTTTAAGTCTACATTTGTTATTATGTAAGAATTTTATAAACTCCCAAGAACCTTCAAAATGAATAACTACATTATTTAAGATATGTAAGTATTTTTAGAGATATGTAAGTATCTTTAGATAAGAATATGTAAGTATCTTTAGATATGTAAGTATCTCTAAGATATGACCTTAAGTTGTAATTTAAATCTCAAAAAAATTAGAAAAAAACACATGTAGCTTTTTTGTTTAAATTGATACTCAGAACTATTGAAGATATTGTATATTTCAAGTTTAGGTGATGATTTATTAAAATATTTAGTCAAAATAGGTTCCTAAATTAATTAGTTAATTCAAATATTAAGTAACAATGGTAGCTAATAAATATATATATATATATATATATATATATTATTTATTTGGTTAATTGAGATGTTCTTTATATTTAGAAGTACATTTTAGAAAAGAATGGTTCAAAAGTCTTCAAAAGTTTTCCCACTTGATAAGAAGAGAGTCATTTGTTAAAAACTTTAGTTTTTGGAGGTAGTATAAATCATGAAAGCATGGCATACATAATGTAGGAATTATGAAAAATATAAGAATTTTGAAATTTACAGTATTGATATTTTTAGCAATTCTAACACAACTTTATGAATTTCTATACAAACCATCTTTTAAAGTGGATCCAACACAAATTCCAAGAAATGACATTATTTTTGCCATTTTATTTCATTTTCTCTCATGAATTTTTGGTTAATTTTCTTTAACATAAGGTCAAACAAGAGAGACTTTTAAATTTCAAGAAATGAAAATTTTTGAAAATTGCATTCTCTTAATTATCCTCTCAACTATAAAGACTCTCTAAACTAGTTTGTTAGATCATTTTAAAATTATTTTCAATTATTTATTGATTTTTACAACTTGTTCTTCTTCTATATGCACGTTTAATTTTGGTAATTTATTTAGGAACAAATCAGCAAATCATATATCATTTTAGTTTTAGAATTTTAAAAAATCATTATATATATGCTAACTTAGAAATTTTTAATAATGATAGGTGTTGTGTTAAAATAATTTTATTTGTTATCCTTATAACTATATATTTATATGATAAAAAAAAAATTACAATACATTTCAATGTTTCAAAATAAAACCCATATCAATTATTTATTTCATAAAATCTATAGATATCTATTCATGTATGGATAGGTAAATAATTATAATATTTTAAAAATAAATAAATAAATAAATGAAGGTATTTATGCATGTAATCAGTGAAACTAAATATATTAAAAATAACTGTAGTTTGAACTTCTTTTGTTATTAGTATTGAAATATCTATCAAAATGTAACCTTGTTTAGTTTGTGTTTAATTTATCATTTAAAAAAATTGAACATTAATAAAAATTACTTGATGATTATTATTATTATTATTAGATAAATAAATGTTTTTAGTTTAAAATTCAACACACCAGTATACGTCATAAATTTCATTTTTACTTGATAAAAATTACTAACATGTTCCAGTTAAAAATTTATGAATAAAATTTTCTCTGCACTCGTTTTCAAATACAAAAATGCATCCACAAAAACCAAAACTCGTCTTCAAGCAAATTTCTATTTGAGAATGTGCAATGAAAACTTATCAAAAGAGCAAGAATGTTGCACGTGAACAAACCCGATTAGAATTTTCAAAGAATAGGAAAAGGTCTTCTTGGTTTCAACATTGTATTGGTTCAAAATAGCCCACAGATGACCAAAAGGTTTGAAAGTTAATGAAACAATCTCTGCCCTTTTGGACTGAAGAGCAGATTAACTGCATGAAGCTGGTGTCTAGACTGAGCAAACACAGGCACACACATCGTGATGGCATGCCCACAATAGCCTTACTTCACGGATCTAAATCCAGACTATATGCATGACACCAAGGTAAGTACAAAGGCCGGCAACACCGTGACGAGAGCACTGCACTGCACAAATCCCATGCTGAATCAGAGACACGAACCGTTGGGTGTTTCAGAAACTGATGCCCCTTGCAGTAACTTCCTTCCTTTCCTGTTTTTTTATTGGAGATTTGACATCCATGTCTTATTCTCCTTGGCTACGTTGTTACGCTTCTTCACTAAAACACAAAGGCAACCCCTGGAGGAAGGCACCATGAAATATCGACAGATTGCTTTTTCTTTTCTTTTCTTTTACTATTTTGGCTATTTTTGCTATTTTTCTTCCTACAGACCAGAAGTAGAGAGTTGAGATTGCACTAGATCTAGCTACAACAAGAGGATAGTCGAACACCCTATAAAAGAGAAAACAAAAGAGGAGAAAAAGCTAACGACAGTAGGCCAATCACACTATTGGTCAAGTGAATGTTAGGGAGTAAATCCAGATACTGTTTGCAGGCCACGGTGAAGCCTAGCCAACCCTGATGAGCGACCCAATCAATACCACTTCCACGCAAAGTGATCATCCTGGCAATGGAAGAACAGTGAGTGTTTTGTAAACTTTTGATACAAGTTCGAAGTGAGCACGCAGGAGGAGCGGAACCAGCGCCGATTTATCAGGTGCGAATGCTTCCTGGGTCGTCAATCAAAGTGCGAACATACTTGCGAACGATTTCGTCTCCTTTAAGCCCCCGCCGCTTGTGGCATTGAAAGCAGTTGATCCTAATGCAGCCCCCACCCTTGAATGAATCGCAACAAATAATGCAGAATTTCAAGCGTATTTCTCATCACATGAGAAGTTGGTTGCAACATTTACAGATTACAAAAATAATAAAAGAAATAAATTGAATTAAATCCCATTAAACAACATTAAATATTCAAAATCTTCACAGGTTAATGCTTTCTCGAGGCATTGAAACTGGTATGTGTGTGCGTGTTCTAAGACCTAGGTTGGAAAATGCAGGACTTAAATTATCACGAACCATGATGCACTATCCAATTTGTAACCTATGATCTAAAATACCTGTTTGGCACTTCAGAAAAGAACCACGTGTAACCACAGAAAAGGTATGGTCGTGGCATAGCTCACCGCCTAGGGAAATTAACATTTTTACAGTCTTCACATTCCCAGTTGCCATTAACTCCTGACTCAGGCTTCTGGCCGCCTCCCATTGCTGTTGCATTAACTGCTGCAGGATCGCCAAATTCCTAGTCCACATACCTCTGTACACGATCAGCGAAGATCTTATGATAAACCATGTCTCATGTAACAGAATACGCACGATACTGGACCTTAAAACGTCAATTCCGAGTAGTGACAGAAGGCTAAACTGTGAGTCAGGGGTCTACCCGCAAGAAATCGCTAGGTCGATCTTTATAATCTTCGAAGCGCACACCAGGACGAACCATGATTCCACGAACCGCTGACGGGCTTCCAACTGCTCCAGCTAAATTACCTCTTGCTAAATAATTTCCCAAATTTTTGCCATGTGATAGACCAGGTCCAGAATTGATGGCGAGGTTGCCTTGGCCACCTGGACCAGAATTCCCATGTACATGAGATTGCGAATGCATGTTCACCCCGCCTATTAAAGTATTGAGACCACGTGAGCTGGAATTAGAACCCAGGCACAAGAGGGATAACGTTGAAGAGTTTCCACCTGATTCTCCAGTTTGCATTCTAGACTTCATCGTTTGTAACCAAAGCGCAGCGGAGGCCAAGCATTCGCCGGCGTCTCCCATGGGATCTGTGGACGCAGCAAACGAGGCTACCAGTTGCTCCGCTAATCGCTTCCCTTCAGTTGCAGCACTGCGCAGACTCAAAAACCGTAAGACTTCTTGTCGGAATTCGCAAAGTGGATGGGTAGGTTGATCACAGCTTTCATTTCAACTTCATCAATTCCTCCACAAGAAACCTAATCCACTCGGTTCAACGCTTAAAGCATCTAAAGAAGAGAAGACATGAGAATTCCGGTCTGAAATCTAGGTTGGTCCCAAATATTTTAAAAAAAACTTATAGCGATAAATACATCACTTCAGACCAACTTAGGTTTCACGGAAAAAATAAGTTCCATGTGCTTGAAAGTAGTTAGGATGTAGTTTACAAAACCCATGGGCTTCCAGCATATTTAGTGATAAAGATAGAATGTGACCATGATGACCAACATCAACATTCAGGTGGATACCTAAAAGTGGATCTTCGGCCAGAAACACAGCCATCTCCAGTCACATAATGTGATGCGAAAGATGGCAGCAAAGGTGCATCAAACCCTCCACCCATCCAGTAATCTATTTCTCCAACAGTTGCATGGCTAGAACCAGGTGAGATTGACATCCCAGATTGCTGTGTTTCAGTGGCTGCCATATGTGACATCATGTTTCGGGTCAGTAGCCCCCCTTGGTCTCCTCCTGACATCTGCAAAAGAAACAAATGGCTACAAACAGTTATTCCATCTTGGAAACTTGGACAATAGCGCCAAGAATTCATGGCATGATTCACTTTTGCCGGCAGAATCGGGTAAAAGAATAAGAATTAAAGATTCTATTGGAGATATTTCAGCGGCATGATATTGGGGCAAGGTAAGGAAAAGGGTCGTGTAAGAGATTCGTCTCACCAAATGTGGAGCTATCCCTGACCCAGAAGGCATATCGCGGGCAATTTTTATAGTATCTATGTAGGCCTTCACAACTGCATCCCCAAGGGGTCCTCTACGCTTCCCACACTTGTTGCACTGCAGTAGACGCAAGAGGCAGTGTGGTTATCAAATACAATCAAGTGAACAAAACGTTGCAATAGCAAAAGCAAAGTTGGTTCAAACACTATCTGATAAAGCATACGCTACAAACAAATCCAAACTACAAATGTTGCGCCATTTTTAAGAGCTCAGGAAATGCTCCAGCACCCGAATTGAGCTCATACGACTAGCATTCTCGAGTTAGAAACTAAAATGTAAACTCATAAGCGCCTCAAACACAAATTAAAAGCTTCTGAACCGTCACTTAAAATTAGCAAAGTGACAATTTGCGCGCGGAAGAATCCGCATCAAACTGAACACTCTTAATTCTAAACTGTGAAGGTTAAAAAGGTAGAATTTAATATAGCATTGAGAAACTTCAATTCGTGAACCTTGACATCTTAGTTTGATAATTGGGGTTCACCTCAGTCCTCCTTGGATAATTCACGTTCCCGCAAGAAGGATCATCGCAAACCCAATTACCATCCTCCAAAGGCCGCGGTTGCTTACCTCGCTGCAACAGGCCTGCTTCCGCATTCATTTGCTCAGCAAACCCTTGCATTCTGTTCACAATTCCGATCACAATGACCGATTGAACATGCATTACTGGTGTAAGATTGCTTTGACATTGTGGACTGATGTTCGAGAGGCAATATTTGAAATCCTATTTATAGAAAGATTCAAGCGATAGCCAAATAAGACAAGCACTGACAAATGAGCATCGGATCCCGTGATCCATAATAAACCAAACTGGTTCAACCCAATATACATACCCCATGACTGGCCCTAATGTTTTACGAAACTGGCCGTTTTAGGCTTCAAATTCAGTTCTACACACAATAGTAGAGTATAAAGGTTACAAGTCACACTATTTGAACCATTGATAACCACAAGAGACATAACGGGCCGAAGTCTATGGGCGAAATCAGAACAGTACCTAGAAAGACGAGGATGTTTGGGCAGCCGATTCGCATAATACCCACCAGATTCCTCGCCCCCACCAAACATCTAATTTACTACCCTCGTCCACAATAGACGATCCACCCCTCCTTTAGAGGATATCTTCCTGCATTTTCTTTCCAGGAAGAGGAAGATGCTTCCAAGTACCTCTTAAAGGGTAATCAGTTCATCCATTGCTGTGACATGTCGCCCATAGACAACATTCACGCATCATACCCCCGTTGAGGCACGTTCAACTGACCCACCACCTCATAGCATGCTTAACCCTCTTTCAAGAATCTAGCGATGTATGCAAACCGCATCAAGAACCCAGACCAACCTTCCTGCAATGTCCTGCAGAATTGTTTCCAAAATGCGCTGATTTCAGATTCTCACATAATCTAAACCTACAGTGTGAGCGGGGCCCAGCTTGACGATTGTCCATCACGACCTAACAAAATGGGTTTGCACCTGCAATCGTGCAATCACCGCGCTCCCATGCAGACCACATTTAAACCATATATGGGGTGAAATAGAAAGTCTAAAGACCAGTTCGCCCCCAAGAATGCCCATCTGAGCGTCACAAATTGTTTTCAAAGCTCTTTTACATATTCTATCCAAAACTCATGACACAAATAAAGGCTAATGCTGAAAAATATAAAGCACACCAGACACTGACGTAGCACACTGCAGCGTCTCAAGATCAACCACATCAATTCCTATCGCACCCATTGTACAGTAGTCTCCCAACCAGCCTCTACCTCTGCCGTCCCGAGTCCAGCATTTCAGAGAAGACAGAAAAATCCCTCCCTCTCAGGCACATTGTCATTTTCCCCATCCCATCAAGCGGTCATCACCAGCCTTAATTTTCCACGTCGCCATTTCATTAAAGCAACGCATGCCATGAAATTTCCAAAAACGTAAAAATAAGAAGAAAACCAATAAAAAAATCTTTCAGTTAAAAAAATTCAACTCCCACCTACACATTCCACCAACGAGCATTGTGTCGCAAGCCCCCCCCCCCCCACGTTAGAACCAATCTCACGCCCCCAAGTCAGAAATTAAGGTCACGAACAAACCTTTCCCAGCTTCAGCGAAATCCTCGATCCTCCTCAACCTTGCGCCTCTCCGAAAAAACCCAACGACCTTCACAACATTCGCATCACCAACAACCTCGGAACTCCAAGCCCGCGCCCAGCGCGTGCAGCACTGAAGTCCACTGGTCAGCGAAATTGAAGAACTTTTCACGGGGAAGAAGCGACGAGCGTTGCGGGAACCAAAAAAAAAAAAAAAAAAAAAAAAAAAAAACACCAGTCAAGTGGAAAGATGAGGAGAAACGCCCCAGGGGGGGGGGGGGGTTACGAAGCCATGAAATTTGCGGGGCGAATTATGCCATAACTGGATGGTTCTCGAGGAGGGGAAGAAAGGTTCCTGCTGTGAGACAGGAGAACGACGACGACAACAACAAAGGGAAAGCCGACAGAAGAAAAACAGGAGACAGAGCAGACCCACGCTCAGTCACAGCACATCACAGCAGAAGAAGCGGCAGTACCAGCACAGCATGGCACAGCACCATAGCATCACAAAGCAACGTAGCATCGCAATGCCATCATCGCCACAGCCAAACAGACCGAGCACGAGGAGGAGCCTGGGCATCATCCAAGCCAAGCCAAGCCAAGCCAAACAAAGCACAGCAAAAGGAAAAAAGCAAAAGGAATTGAGTTGAGTCGAATTGCATTGCATTGAGCAGAAGCAGGAGCAGCAGCCCTGGCCTCTCATGGCCTGGTGCCACGTGGCGCGCACCCAGTGCCCCCTCCGCCCCGCCCTACTGTCGCTATCTCTGGTGTTGGATTGGCTACTACGGGGTTCGACCCCTCGTCGCTCCCTCTTTCTGTTGGTCACCCCCCCCCCCTTTGCGTCATGTATCGAGCATCCGAGCACATGAGTTCGTCGGGATATTTCTTCATTCGTTCGTTTGACCTTCGTCGTTCCCTACTGTATCTTTCGTTCATCCTTCATCCCTTCTTGTTTCCTGACGCTGTTGTAAATCGTCCCACGTTGTTTTTAAAAACCAGTCACGAAGTATATTCTGCTTCCACAAATGTTGTATATAATTCTATTTATTAAATATCTTTTGTTGATGTTCATCTTACTGCAAAAAAGAATCAAGGATTGTTTCTCATTTCAAAATCATCACATTGTTGGTTTATTTGCAAGTAAAGAATGTTTGTAAAAGTATTTCATCAAATTCAAAAATTCAAGTTCAATTAATCTAAAAAATAAAATGTGGTAGTTTATTTCTACTTAAAGTAACAGAAAAAACTTAATTTTACCTTTAAGAATGAAGTGATCTGCAGAAAACATCATGTATATACATGGTTAAATTCAATTTAAACATTATTTGAAAGTTCTTGCCTTTATTTTCTTGATATGACCTAACTCCTTATATTTAGTAAAATGAAACGCTCTCTGAGCTGATGATGTATTTGATAAAAAGGTAAATATCATGTTATTTCCACAAGCTTAGAAAACTGATTGTTGATACTTTGTGAAGGATTTCAAGTTATACATAGAGAACATGGTGGTGGTGGTGTTTTTTTTTTTTTTTGTTTTTTTTTAACTTATCTTAGATTAGATTTAATAATAAAGACAAAAAAAAGGTTGCTCTTTTGCCCTAAAATGTACAAGAATTTATTTACTTACATATTAGAATGAGAAAAGACATCAAGAAAGAAGTTGACAAAAAAAAATCAGAAAAGGAGACTCTTAAATATGCAAGACCAGGATTCTACCTAAAGCTTTGTCATTTCTTAAAAAAAACAAAAAAAAAAAAAAAAAAAAAAAAAAAACTAATCTATTTAAAAGATTAAAATTAGAATTCCTTCCAATGGCTCTACTCTCAAAAATCTCTCCAAGAGGCATTGTCCCTTGACCCTGCTTGCTAACAAGCTAGCAGGGCTGTCATAGGAGAGGTTGCCATCCCTCCTAATCTCTCCCCTCCCTTCCCATTTCATTTGTTATAAGTATGAATTAGACTTGGAGACTAAACTAAAAATAATAATCATCATTATCTTATAATCTTGCTTTTTTTTATATACTAAAAATGATTCTTAGTCATGCACCTTTTCATCAAAAATTATTCAAGCCAAATGAATATTTGCACAACCTCTATTTTTCAATGGTGACAACCTCAATAAACATATTAGCATGGCTTTCTAATCATGAGATCTTCTTTAAAGAAAATATTGTTATATTACAAGAAGACTTGCTTGAAAATGCACCAAGCACTTGGATGTGGAAAGTAAATTAGAAATTGGAACAACAAGGTCCTAACAACTCTAATAGAACCTTAAATAAATTCCAATCAATTCTTAATAATCCTAATTAAATCTTAACCTAATCTAGAAGAAGTTTTAAAGAATTATAATAAAAAAAATTATAAAAAAAATTATAAAATAAACTAAAGAAATATATTAATAAAAACAATCCTAAAAGAATAATAAAGAAATACTAAAGAAATAATAGAAAAATACTAAATAAATAATAAAAATAAAAATATTAAATAAATATTAAATAAATCCTAATAAAATTTCAATATGGTACTAATAATCCTAATAAAATCTTACACAAATTTTAATCAAATCTTAATCAATCTTAATAAAAATCTAACGAATTTCTAAAACAATTTCTAGTAAATTCCAACCAAATTTCTATAACTACTTTGAAATCCTTTTAGCAATTAATTTAACTATTGATTTCAATTTAAAAAAAAATCCACGCTTTAATCTTTAAATAAAAAATAAGATCACAAATTTTGAAAATAATTGAAATTATCAATTGGAAGAAAGAGTTCCTAATACTCTCATATGTTTGCCGACTTCCTTCTCCAACTTGAATGTTGATCTTCACGTACCAATTACTCCTTGTTAAATTGTTCAATTGCTCTCTAAATTAACAAGACTATAGATACCCAAGCCCAAAATATCCTCACAAACTTTTGCTTCAAGCAAATTGGCAAATTTCTTAGGATCACAAAAAACCTCATTGATCCTCAAATTTTAAATTTTGAGACCTTAAACCAATAAAACTTCCATATCCTTCAATTTTATTCTTTGATAAACTTCAAAATTTCAAAAAATAAAAAATAAAACAAATATATTAATAAATTCATAAAACTTTATATATAAATTTGCTATAATATCCACAAATTTCTAAAATATGTAAGCCTCTTTTTACTTTTCAAAATCCAAAATCTTTGAATACATTTCTTACTTGAAAAGCTCTCAAAAATGCAATATGCACCCAAATTACTTAAAACCAATGCTAAAACAATCTTTATAAAGTTATTTCTTACATCCTATTCTTCAATCATCAAAAGATTCCTAAAATCACTATAAGACTATGATTTTTTGTGTTGGGATCTAATTTTAATCTTGATTCATATTCAATCCTTTCCAGATATCGATTATTGACTTTTTAGAATAATTTTTGTTATAAACTATATTTAATTTTTTTCTAAAGATTTTTATATTTTTTGATATTTTTTCTTTATTTATGGCTGTACAAAGTAAGAAGAAGTTTTTTTTACAAAAAAGACAAAATTAACATTAAAAGATTTAAGTACCTTCCTATTTTTTATCTATTTTTTGCTACTATACCTTTCAATTAGGCTCTTCTATAATAGAATCCATATTTTTATCTTTCACCATATAATTGTATTAAAATATGATAATGTGCCATTATATATGAATTAATGTATAAAATAATACCTTAATTGAATATAATTTGTCCTTGAATGAGATACTTGATTCTTTGCAAGATGAATCCTACTTTAACTATTACTATGAAAGACATTGTTGCCTTGCTATTTGCCCAATTCTTTCAAAAAATTCATTAACAAAATCATTTTTTTAACTTCAGAGATAACCAAGTACATTGCTTTAGTAATTGATAAGACAACGCTCCTCTAAAGTTTAGACATCTAACTTATAACAAAACCTCCTATAGTGAAAACAAAACAAATTATGTGTCTACAACTATCTAAGCAACTACTCAAATTTGCATAAACAAATCCTTACAAATTTATACTACTCTTTTTGAAACAAAGTACCAAATTTAAAGTACCTTTTAAATATTATAATAGTCATGTTATAGCTTCTTAATGCATCCTTTTAGAATGTGTCATATAACTATTCACAACTTCTATTGCATGTGCTATATCAAGTTTAGTACAAATCATAGTATATATCAAGTTTCCAACTGCCAATACATATAAAACTTTTTCAATGTCATTTTGATCTTCATTTGTCTTTGGAGATTGTTTCTTTATACGTTTGAGGCGACTTTCTAAAAAGGTGTTTTTAGACTTAGCAACATGAAGATTGAACATGTTCAATATCTTTTCTATGTATCTCTCTTTGGGTAATTATAGAATTCTTTCAACTCTATTCTTAATGATTTTCATTTCAAGTATATGCTTTGAAGGATCGAAGTCTTTCATTTCAAATTCCTTTAATAATTGTTGCTTTAATTTATTGATTTCATTTATGTTAGAACCAACAATAAGGATGTTAATAATTTACAAAAGAAAAATAACATAAGACACATAAAACTTCTTAAAATAGTAAAAATGGTCCATGTCACATCTTAAGCCAACATTATAATATATAAAGTCATTAAAACTTTTGTACCATTGTCTTGGAGCATGTTTCAAGTTATACAAGATGTTCTTTAATTTGCACAGTAAATTTTCTTTATTAAGAACTTAGAAACCTTTTGGTTGCAACATGTAGATGTCTTCATTAATACTACTATAAAAGAAGGCAATCTTTACATCTACCTACTCTAGATTCAAGATCTTGATAATAACAATACTTAGGACCAAGCTTGCAGTTGTTAATTTGATAACAAGAGAAAAGATCTCAATATAGTCAATTCTATTCTTTTATTGGAATCTTTTAACAACTAATCTTGTTTATACCTTAAGTTGCGATTATTGTCTTCTATGATCGGATATATCTATTAGTTTTTTCATGCCTTCTTTCTATTTGGCAAGTGTATTAATATCCATGTTTTGTTCTTCTCGAAAGATACCATCTCATCTTACATAGCCAACTCTCACTTAATAAAGTCTTTTACTTGCACTATTTTAGCAAATTATTTTGGTTCATCAATATCAATCTAAAGTAAATAATATAACAAAGAAGAATATCAATTTTTTGATCTAGATGGCTCATAGAAATTAGATTTTTTTTCAAGTAAAGAATATATCTTACATCTTGTAATTTCCATTAAATACAATTTGTAATCTTTATATGAACAATACTTTTTCTTATAATATTTAAAGATTCATCATCAACCAAATAGATCTTTCCAAACTTTCTAAAAATGATGTTGTGCAATAATTCTTTATATGAAATTGAGTGAAATGATACATCCAAGTTTAGGAACTAAGTCTCAATAGGACTTACTACACTACAAATAAGAGCATCATATATTTCTTCAATAGCAACATTCACTACTTAATCTTTTTGATATATATATATATACTTTTGATGCTTTTGATTTTTCTTATTCTTCCTTAATTGATTGTAATTACTAAAAAAATGACTTTTAGTACCACAATTCTAGCAAGTGATATCTTTGTGAGGTTTTGATTTATTCCTTCTTTTGGACTTTAATCTACCATTGTACTATCTATATCCTTGTTGATGATTCTTTCTTCTATCTTTGATATTCTAGACAAAACTTAAAGATTCTCTTGTCTCTTTCATGCAAAAATCCTTGCTGGAAATTAAATCTCAAACTTCATCAAGTTTCAACTACTTGCTTTCTAACAAATTGATCAATGAGGTCACAATTGCGAGTCAATTTTTAAGTAAAGGAGATAATAAAATCAAAACCTTGATCTTGTCATCAAAGATTAGTTCAATAAAACTTAATTAATTTGTAATCACAATGGATTTGTTAATGTAATCAGCAACTGACATACCTTCATTCATTTTCAGATTAAATAAATGCCACATCAAATGTATGTTGTTAGAGATAGAAGTCTTTTTGTACATGTTTGATAGCACCTTCATGAGATTTACTGTAGTCATCTTGTTGATGATATTAAAAGTAATGTTGTTTGTCAATGTTAGACGAATCACATCCAAAGCTTGTCAATCAAACAAATCCTAATTTTCTTGTTTTATTGCAAATAACTTTGTACTAGCTAATGGTTTGTGAGGCTTATTTTCATATAGATAGTCCTCAATCTGCATCTTCTAGAAACTAAAATATTTTCCATTGAATTTGTTGATTTTCACTTTTTCTTCATTTGATGCCATCACTCCTACTCAAACACTTGAACCAATAACTTGGAAATTGCAATCTTAGTAGATTGACACAAGGGAGTACAAGCGTTGAAGTGGATATATCAGACGATCAGGCAGCATCTAAAAAGGGATGCCCGTCTGCCCAGATTTGAAAAAGTGAAAGCATAACACCAATAGCTGCTTTTCACTTGGTCCGACTCTACATATTTATTTTAGATCGTGGCTACTGATGGGATAAATATTCTCTTTTTGTTTTGTTTTCTTTTTCAGTCGTCTATGTTCAGCAATTTTAACTCTCAATTCTAGCCAAATTCAATTTTACATTGTATAATTTGTGACATCGTTCATCTTTTCTTTTCCCAGCACAACCTGAGCACATTTCTACAGATAGAGTATGTCTGTATATTGTTTGATTTTCTCCGAATTGGAACCGAATAAAAAAACTTGATGACTGGGTCTTGAGTTGAAGTAAATTGGTTAGATTCCTGATGCAAGACAAGACACACGCACATTGCATGCTTGGGCTAGAGATACAGATGCCGATGTGCTCTACGTGGACTTCATTTGAATGGCTCCCTCCATGGGAAACTCAGTCACCTGTCCCGTCTGTGCAATCACAGTCTCACACCTCAGCCAACACAAAAATACAGTACACCCTTCTTTTGCCTTTGGAGCTCTCCAGTCCTTTCTCAATGCGGAAGGGAAACTGATTGGAAGACCAGGAAAAAAGGTATGGATGGAACTCTCACAAGCATTTGAATGGGAACTGGTTTTATCTGCGGAATTCAGAACAAGTTTCATCTACAAAGGGAAGGAAGTGAGCCATGATTGGCTACTGAGCGTGGATACGTGATGTGCACACAACTTCGCCTTCACAATCAACCCAATAACCAACAAAGCTGCAGAAAGAGAAAGGTTGTGATTGGCAATCGATCTGGGGCTCACTCAAAGCATATTACAATTGTATGCAATGACCATGTATTGAGCAGTCATACAGTGGCACGGGGAGAGCCAGGAAAAAATAAAGAATGTAATTTTTTTTTTCTCAACTGCCGTAGTTCAATGTACAATCCCTATTGCAGGTACATAACACAATTCTGACGCAATGTGTGCACAGCCAACACAAGCTATTTGAGTAACCGGAGATGTTTCCTGGACCAGTGCACTCCAGAGCATAAACGATTCTCCAAAAATATAAGCGGGGAAGGACTGAATGTACAGGCTTGCAGAGGATTCAGTCCATTTGAACAGAATGCAGTTGTTAGAATAAAGTGTTCACGATATGCTAAAAGACTGAAGCCTCTGCAAAGAATACCTATGCCTGAACTGGAGGAAGGCAACTTGTGTCCAGAATTAGCTAATATCGACGCTTGTGTAGGTACTTCCATCAGACACGTCGAGCTGGATCAGCACCTAAAAGCCTCGTACCATTTACCTTGAATAATAGCAAGCATGTTAATACTTGCCCATCATTCGACAGGATGCGTACTACCTACATCGAGTGGTGTTTCAGAATTGTCTAACTCGATGTCGTGACCATTTCCATTGACCATGAAATAACATTCTTCGTCCTTGGTCATTTTTTCTTCTTCACGTTGTTCGAGCTCTTTATTAGTACATACAGTTTCCTTGTAGGTATCAAAAAATTGGAAACCACTCCAGGGCCAGTGGTCGACACACTCATCATTGATCCATCTCTCCCTCTTTCCATATTTGCGCCGTTCCTGGTCCTTAATCATGTCGTCATTAAGTCCCCACTCTTCCAATTCCTCCCGGGTATGGTGAACTAGCAAACTGTATTCTCCACCTTCGCCCTGTTGCATGACTCGAATTTCACAATTTTTCGGATTCCTAAGATTCTCAAACTGCTCAACCGTCCATTTAAACCACCGCATGAGGAACACCCTCATCGTTACTCCATGAGATACGATAACTAGATTCACCTCTTGCTGCTTGGTGCCGCTTGTATTTAAACGGTTCATATCAATATCCCGCCATAAACTTTCCAAAAAACCTGCGGTACGTCACAAACGGAATTGGTCAAGGCCAAGACTATTGCAGAACTCAAATACGAAACACAGAGAGCAATAGCTCTTCTCTTTCCTTATTTTTCCTGATACAATTAAGGCAAACACATACCCAAAATCACCCCCTACACGGAAGCAAAAGACTTTCTAGTAAACCAGATTAGAAAAGCCTCTCTCACTAAAAGACGTGACAGGAATTTCAATTTTTAAATGTCATATATAGCATCTGCAGATATAGTGATGCATATGATTCACAAACTGGTCTCTTCACAAAGTGAAACACTCGGAGGTAGAAAATGGATGAGTTAAGTACTAGTCACGCGATCAAAAACGTCCGCTGCTGATTCGCCTTCCGGAAATCTGTAAAAGAATCTCCCAAATCGCTGTCTTTCTTTCTTTACTGCTGTAATTTTGTGCATTTCCTGAAAATTTCCAAAATCCTGTTCACGGATGCGAGGCTCCTCACGCACGCCAATAATATGTTTTTTTTCATTTTCGAAGGCTCGTCCAATCTCCTTCAAGGTGCACAAAGTTCGGTTGTATGGCGACACATAGAAGTAAACAAGCCACTCGTCATTTATGCTTTCTTTCCTGATCATATCTTGTATCTTTTCGCCACATTGCTTGGCCTGCTGAGCCCCCGCTTCAGTTAGACGGATTCTTGGATCCGCAATATCACAGTACTTCTTTGAATCAACATTCCCTTCACTTTCCCCATGCCTAATGAGGATTATGCGCCTCGGCCTCCTTGACCTACCGTCCTCAGCCATGCATCCCCTAACTGGAATATCAGAAAACGATTGAGCCCACTACCACCTGAAGACACAACACACACTGTGAGACTCATAGCATCATCCTCTTTTCTAAAATCACAAAGCCTCACAAGCAAACTTTAAATTTCGATAAATGATAATTAGTTCATTTAGGTCAAATCGGATTTGACCTATTTTGAAAACGAATGACCTGAACAATCCAACATATCGCATTTGCCGCTGAATATAAGCACGAGTTATTAGAGGTGTGTAATCAGATTCGCAACTGAGTGGATTGACTTTGAAATAAGCGATGCATGAATTTCACTAAGTACCTTTGTAACTTTTCTATTGTAATCTATTAGAGACAACTAAAAGATTGCAAACTCCTCGACCACCGAGGAACCGCGACATTGTCAGTCCCCAACTGAACCCCCAAGCACACCACCACTTCTAGGTCAAATTACGTGGCAGACGTAATCAATCCAGCACCACGGTTGCCGTTCCACGAGCCAACCCACAAGATAGATTTGAAAATAACCACGAGAAATCTATTCAACCCAGTCCCTAAAAAGCTGACCGCATCCGATCCTCTCGAATCCCAGAGGATTAGGAAAGTACAGGAAGATTGGGATTCTTCCTGAGAACAAACTTCACGAAAACTGCAGACTAAAGTCAACTAATCCTACAAAACATCGTCTCTTAACTCAGAATCATATCCACAACCCTCTAACAAACACCAAAATCATACATCCAACACAAACAAACAATAAACCAAGATCGACTCCGAAACATAGATCAACACACCTGCAGCTAACAAACTGCTTCCCTCCACCGAACTCCATCCACGTAAACCCACGCCCCTCTTCTGCAACCTCGACTCAATGCTTTCGCAGAGCACACCTCTTACTGGCAAATCGTCGCAACGTGCACAACCCACTCTCCGAGTTCCACAAAGCTTCCTCACCACGCCTTTTCTCGGCGTCCCCAACTCTCATAAACGATCTAATCATCAACCCATCACGGGATTTCTCACAGAGTGTAAAATTCACGCGGTAAATCGTCACAAAGCGTAGCGCAGCTCGATTCCTGATCTTGCTTGCTGAAAAGCGGTGTTTGACGACAACCGGTGCTTGAGTCGGGGGTAGGATACATACATACATGGCTCATACCTTCAATCCTTCGATCTTTATTCATACCCGGAGGGGCTCGCAGCTTAGAAGTAGAGCCAGCCCCCGCAGCCGACATGTCGCGGCGATCGATGGCGGTAATAAGCAAGTGCGGTGCCTCGGCGACAGGACCGTGTTGCTGACGACATGGGGGACTCCGCCTGGGTTCAAAAGTCAATTTTTGATTTAAAATAATATACAAAAAAATAAAAGCTTTCTTTGACTCCCACGTCAGCAGCGCCAGGGGACGATAGCCGTGCGATGCACTGTGACGGAAATCATCTCGTCCATTGGATGAAGGGAAAAAGGCTTTTCTTTTCACCGTCCGATGAGATTGGTGACGTGGACATGTTTATAAAACGATATGACCTAATTCTGTGGAACTCAAAGTCCACGTGGATTGTGTTACGATCTTCGTGTATTGTACTTTGATCACTATTCTTCAGAATCAACATAAAATTATGTTCTTGCGGCCAGTTACCTGACGTTTTACTCAATATATGAAGTTTACAATAATAAGAAGGAAATTGCTAATTCGATCCATCACGAGACAATTGGCGTGATCGTCAACCGTTTCAGATTTTTACGACTACGTTTTACCGGCTGTAGACCTTCAAAAACTGCTACTTTTCCGCTTCGGTGGACTTTGGGGACTTGAAAGAAAATCATTTCCAGCGATTAAACACGCGCGAAGATCACGCCAGCAATCCCCTAAGAAAATTGTGGTGAATTCGAAATATACGAATCCAAAATGCTTTGCAGGGGATTTATGTCAGTTTTTGGGTTTGGTGCAGATGCCACCTGAAAAATTGATTCCTGTAATACTGTTGTCTAGGACCACCCAGGTGTTAGTTTCGTTGCACAGATGCAAGAAAAACAGCAAAATTAATAGAGCTACATGGTTATTTCTAAGCACATTTACGAGAAAATGAAATGGGACGGTGTAGTGATTTGAACAGCGTCGTTTAAAACAATATTGTAGAAATTTAACAGAAAATCCAACATACATTTTCAGTCGATAAACATGTATTGTGTACTTAGCTAACGATGATTAGGCTAGACTGAAGATCTTGGCAAGATCATGTTCTTTCAAAATGCATCCGGAATTGTCAAAATACCAAACCAAGTATAATTCTTAAGTTAGTGTACATGGTCTACACTTGGGTTCGCAAGTCTGCACTAAAATTATCGGCTCTCAGAGAGAATGTTTTATAACCCCTTGCGCTTGATCTAAAATAAAGTTCGCTGAGCTGAATTGATTGCTGTTGTAAAAGGGCTGCAAATCATTGATCCCGTACTCTCTTGCCTACACATGCAAAAAATTGTCAGCACAATGCCTACAAGATAATTTCTTCTGCAAAACAACGAATCCATAAGTAGAGCATTGATGAATTTCAAAAAATTGTAAGTTTTAATACGCCAAGATTCAGATGCCTTAAATTCTAGACAACCAACAATAATGACCTCTTTTGCGACACAAAGGTTACCCTCGTAATGGAATGGGTAACAATATTCTCATTTAGTCATAGTGTGTTGTTTTAGTCTCACGAGACAAAAGAATAAGTGAAATCGACAAAATAGCAGACTACTACCCAATGACCCTGCGGAATGTTAAAAATCTCTAACTGTGATGCGCTAGTTAGTGTCTCGCCTAATGGGGGGAATAGCGAGAAAATAGGAATTTGACAAGGTGTGATGAGACAAAGCAAGCACTGGATTTAGACTGGTGGAGACCTAATTAGCATCACTGCAGCCCACATTGTGTAAATTTATTGGAAGAGGAAATGAAATACAACCTTTGTCTCAAGATCGATCGTTTTGACAACAACTTCAGCGAGATGAACGTTAGTGCGTGATGTCATCTCCTCGAAGCGAATTGCATCAGCAACTAGGCCACGCAGCAAGTGTAGCAGTAGCTCATTGAAGTCTTTCTTGTAAGTAATATATTTTTTGAAGCTCTGCATTTGCAAAACGGGATATTAGTTAAACTGGGTGTCAATTTCGACATTTTCATTTTTGAATGCCAAATCAAAATCATAGAACGTTACAAAACGGACCTTTTGCAGAGCTTTCTGGACACCAAACTTCTGTGTAGAGATGAATGACTCCAGCATCACACGAATAGCCATATCAACGTCATCCTCAGTAACAAAACTTCTTAGATGCATGCGTGCATGTGCCTCTGCCATTCGTATCATTGACTCGATATGCCGTACTGCAATTGGCACTCCTTGTCCGAACTGCATTCAACAAACAACACTGACTCTGAGGAGGTGATCGAAACAACAAATAACTCGGTTGATGATTCTTACAACAACCTTGGATATCTCAGCGCTCACACGTTGAAAAACTCACCTTTCCAAGGAGTTCCATGTCATGTACGAGTAACACCAACAGATCTCAAATAGAATGAAACATGATCAGAGACAGAAGACTGTAAGATCACTTCAATTCGTTCAGCTTATGATTACACCTAATGCAAAACACGATTCATAATGTCAGGGTCGTACCATAGATTCACGACGAAGATCAGCATAAACCAGAGCCATCTTTTCCAGGTCCACATCATGAAGAAAAGGATGCACATGCATCTTAGCATAAGTGATGTATTTCTGTAAAATATCTTGAGGTAGAATCTGAAAAAACAACAAACCAATATCAGTTAGCAAAGAGATCTGCCAATGGGGTACGAATTGTTGATGATTAAAAACATTGCCCACTTGTCGAAATAGAGGACATTTTACGAATTATATTGTTCATGCACCGCATTTCAGTTCCAACTCACAACTTGGCAGCACCAAGAGAATCAGATAAGTTTTGTAGTCTGATACCTCTTCATCAGTTGTGACTGGCCTAGATTGTTGGTCGTCGTCAGAATCTTGGTGCTTTGGGTGGGACTTAAAATGACTATCCACAACAAAAGATGCCAGCATTTCATCTTGCACTGGATCCACAATGTCCTGCAAAGGAAAAATAAAGGCTCAGTTTTGTTTCAAATGATTTAGTTCTTGTTGTCAGGACTATGATTTTTAAAATTAAAGCAAGATGAGCAAAACGTGAAAACCCCTAACATTACCCGCCAGCAAGACGGATTAATGGAATAAAAGAAGTTGATAAGGGCAATCCACCTTCACCACACAGAGGACATCAAATCGAGAAAGAATAGGATCAGTGAGCTCCACATTTTGCGCAAAGGTCTTGGAGGAGTCATATCTGTTACGATAAGAGAAAGTCAGAAGACATTACATATACTTTGTTCAGGAAATTCATTCAACTTGTAAGGATAACGGCTACAGTAATCTCTAAGTAAACTAGCACTTTAATTGATGAAAGAAATGAAGAAAAAGAAACTAGTCAGCTCTCAAAAACCAAGACCGCACACGACCGTTTGCATGCACTATATTGATAGCCCAAGGAAAGAACAAAACCATTACTATTGCCATAAAATCGTTCAGTCGTGATACACACAACGGTCAAAACCAACACAAGAGCTTACCGGCCTCCAATTGGATTTGCTGCAGCAATAACAGCGCACCGGGCTTGCAACGAAGTCACAATGCCTGCCTTAGATATACTGATGCTCTGCTGTTCCATAGCCTCATGAATACTCACCCTAAACAAAATCGAATTTCACACAAAGTCTTCAGATGAAATAGCAGCACATCAAGGAGCGTTTTTCTAAGGCTTGGCAATTGAGAGTTTCAAGAACTGTATACAAATGGTTATGAAAAATGCATCTCCAGAAAGGGACTGCACCTGTCTTGATCGTTCATCTTGTCGAACTCATCAATAAGACATATACCACGGTCAGCTAGTACAAGGGCACCTCCTTCCAAAGTCCACTCCCTTGTTACAGGATCCTTGTGTACTGCTGCAGTAAGACCCACTGCTGAAGCTCCTTTGCCTGTGGTGTAAACTGCACGCTGAGCGGTTTTTTCCACATACCTGCCAAAGAGGAACAAGAGTATCTCACCCTAAACTCCAAAAAATGCCACGTGGTCCACTACTCGGACCTATCACAAAAACCTCCTAAGAAGAGTTACCTGCTTCTAGACATAAATATTACTTATTGATCATGCTCCCTTGATGCCCCTTCTCCAGTAATACATCGGCAGTTTCCACAGTAGAACAGCACGGCATTGGAAGTTCAGCACAGCAATGTCATCAGTCTCATATGCTATGGGTTGATCTGTAGTGATGCTTTGGGTTTCTCGTGCAGTATTACGCAGCTCTTGCAAGACAGATTAAACGGCATGACGCTATATTTTACCTTATTAACTAAAACGATCTCTATACCCGCTGAAGATGGAGATACAGCATGGACCCAGAACATATCCATAATGATTGATAAGGATTGTGGGTGATGCTCACTTGAGAAACTGAGATTTCGCTGTCCCCGGATCACCCAGCAACAAAACATTTATATCGCCTCGAAGCCGATGTTTACCTTGCACGTTCTTCTCCTGACCTCCAAACATTGCAAGTACTAGAGCCATTTTGATATCCTCATGCCCAAAAATAGAAGGAGCAATAGACTTCGCGAGCTGTTACAGCATGTATGCAACAGCATCAGTTCAACTTTTTCAGGTTGCATTTTTCTTGGAGTAAAATTTGAAGAAAACATAGAGTGCAAGTGAAACAAAAACAAAAATAATGAATTGAGCTTGCTAGAAAGTCTATCATGTACTCAATCTACCCCCGACAAAGCTTTCGGAAAGAATCTGATTAGATTCTAGCGTTAAACGATTTTAGGGGGCTGCGGAAAACATTTGTAAGAAGCGAGTTACGACTCGGATTAAACAAACAAAAAGGGATTAAAAACGATTGGAACAGTTCCATACCCTCTGGCCGATGCGAGGATCTTTCGAAAGCCTCTGTATATCAGCCTTGTCTTCATCAGTCAATTTGTAAGCAGCGAACAAATCTTGTTTCTTTTGCACATAATTAGCCTCCACCACAGTCGCGAACACAGGGAAACCATTTTTTGTGTTCAATGCAGAGTCAAAGTTGTTCACGTATATGCCAGTTACTTCCTGAAACATGAGATGTTGGCACCCAGAGAAGCAAATCAAAACCTAAAATTTATTTTTTATTATCGCAGTTTCCGACAATAGACAAAAAGAACTTTACTACACATATTTTAATAAGCGTAAAGTTGTAGACTATTGGATAATGGCTTCTTCAAAGACGGACAAAACTAATGCCAGAACACTCACAATTTCTTCTCCAGGACGTGCAACATCGATGAGATCATGAAGAAGAATAATTTCCTTGTATCTTGGGAGTCTTCCTGCTTGAACTGTGTTGGGACTTTCTTGCAAAGTGAGTTTCTGGTAGTTCCTGTAGATGGTCTGCCAAATTGCAACCCTGACAGATCAGTAATTGATAACGTACATACAGACTTAGACCCAATATGTTTGAGTCATGTAAACCGACGCATGAGTCGAATGTCGAAATCATGTGAACAAGTATATCTATGATAAATCCGAAGACAGCCTACCTGTTCGACGTTCACAGTGAAGGGTCCTCTAGATTGGCATTCAGGACAAGATCCAACCCTGATCTCGGTATGCGTGTTCTGGAAAAAGGGCCCAAGAATGGTTCCACATTTAACGCAGTCGTACTTTACTTGCTGCAATTGCGGAAAGACCCCGGAGCGTCTGGTGACGACCCCTGAGATCTTGATCAAGGTATCCAAATGCACTTGCCTGACCAGAAGAACATATACCAGACTAAATTAAAAACTGTCAAAGAAAGTTCAAAAGTCGACAAACGAGGCACACGTCAACAATTCAGTAAACATACAAGCTTCTTGGACACTTTTCCTTTTGTTTGGAAACCCTATTCAAGCACTCTCTTGCGATAGATTGCATTCTTGAAATAAGTCGAATGACTAAAGTAACAAAACCTGATGTTGCGAATTTTGTCCTCCAAAGGAAGATTGCTGATCCGTAGATACACCTTTTCATGAATTTTAGAGTAGTTAGGATGATGTCGGAGAACAAACGCATTTGCTTCTTCTTCCATGATTTCCAGGAGAGGTTGAGGAGCATCAGCAAGCCAAATGGCCAGCTCTGGACAGCTATCCAACCATTGACCATAATTCAACTCCAAACTACACAAGTTCGCTGCAAGTTTCCAACCAAAAATCCTTGAGCATGTATATCACAGAGATGCAAAGCCGTGAAGATATACCAGCTAGGAATGGACAGTCTTGTAACTTTGTCTCACGATAACAAGCATCAAGCTGATCAGAAGGGGAAGTTAAGAACTAAAAGAGAGAATACCAAATGAGATAGTTCAAGCGCAAAGGACAAGAATATAAACAACAAAAAGCAGTACCAGCAACCATGTTGTCCAAGCTGTCTCTATAGACTTTCTTATACATCGCCTCCTTGGAGCTGAATGTCTCCAGAAAACGACGAAACTTCCTCTGAACAAAACGACGGACATCATCTCGAGCGACCCATTCTGCTATACTGTTTCCTTGCACATTCAAGAAGTCCGTTCCACCATCATCTTCTTCGTCATCTTCTTCTTCTTCATTGTCACCCTGTACCACACCGAAATGCGACTGATTAGAACTGAAATGCTATGCCTCAGTTAAGCTATCTAATCCTCGTGGCATTCAATTCGAAAGTCAATGTTCCCCGAAGTCTTTCTCATGCCTCAAAATGGAAGAGATCACAAAAGCTTCCATGGCAGACAGCATCAGCAGTTTCTCAAAGGACTATGAGACAAGCATTGTAACGACAGGGATTGCCGAGATACAAGCGCAATTATAAACTCAAATCTTCGTGCTTGGTGTGCACGGACGCAAATGTGATCCAGTAAGCAAACATAAAAACCAACACACCAAAAACAAATACCGTTTCGTCATGCTCGCTCATACTCATAACGGGAGACGCAACAGGCTCATGCAAACGCATTCTTCGTCTGGCAGGTTGATATTCCTCGTTCTCGTCATCATCTGCATCATCATTTCACACAATGCCGCATTGGGCACCTTTCATAAAATCTCAATATCCTCTTCGCAATTTCAGACAACCAGGGTACAGGGTTTAAGAACCTTCCCTCAGAATAGGTGCTGCGAAAAATCTACCATCCACCAAAATAGGCTGAAAGGCAGAACCATGAAAAGACTTAGTTTTTATGAAGAGGGGGCCAACACTTACCATACTCCTGAAGCATGGTGGGTAGCTTGCGAACTCGAGAGTGATTTAATATCCCATCCCTTTCATCCAAGTTGGCTTCAGCAGCTCGTCGATCAGCCATAATGGTCGCAAAATCTCGAGTATCCTCCACCTCGTCATCGAGTCCATCAACTTCATAACGATCCTGTTCTTCAAGCGTTTGATAGTCTCTGTCAAAAAAGAAATGCCTCAACACGTTAACAACCATTGTCCACATCATACCCACATTCCCCGCATCCACTACCCGCATCATACCAGCTTACAACAACATTGACTAACTCCAATTGCAAGAATGAACAAGAACTTCACCGCTGCATGAAGTTCTCATCATAAAGATCCTCCCCATCTTCCTCCTCCTCTTGGTCCACAATCTCCTCATCAATAAACAGGTTGCGATCCTCCACGGCTTCATTCTCACTATCAAACTCTGAACCACCCATACTCCCCCGCCGCCCGCCACCGGTGCTCGACAACGGCAACCTGTCCGTGTCGAAATCTCCTCCTGACGTTGTCGGCCCATCTTCGGAGCGCTCCGGTGAAGCCATGACGGTGTTTGGGCGCCTCCCCTCCAAGGCCAATCAACCCTGCCCTATCTTCGCCCTCTACCTGCCAATGCCGCCAAATAAAAAGCTCGAGAAACTGCAGAAAAAGAAGCAGAATAAGAGGAAAACACAAGCTGGGTCACAATGTGTGATGTCAAAGGACGAAGCTCCGCAAGGAGAGAAGGACAAGAAGGCTTGATCGGGATGGTGGTGGTGGAGAAGGAGGACAGTGCCGTCGAAGCTTAGCCCCACTCCGCAAAGGGCGACGAGGTTCGGCAACAACCCTGCGCAGATCGACTGAGGCACCAGTGGCGGGAAAATCTGCCTCCTCCTGGTACCCGCGCCTTGCCCATGGCGGGAGTGAGTGAGTCAGCACATCACGACGGGTCCTGCCTGAGACGGGTCTGCTGTCCCAGCCACACCGTCGCCTTCGAAACGTTTACAGTGCATGTATATTTGTATATGTAGATATGTGTATACATGTAAATATAAATATATATATATATATAACAGCTTAGGCGATAAACAAGAGGAGACAAAAACCATGTCTAATTTGCTACATGCATCTCTCATTGTTTTTGTCAAGAGTGAAGCAAAACTTAAGTTGTGCAACAATTCACAAGGTCTTTAAAGGGAAATGGTGCGAAAGTTCAAAAGAAAATGCATAGTAGCATTGCCGTTGAACACAAGGAGAAAATCTGGATCACTAGGGTTGTGTTTACGGAATTAGATTATTCGGAGCTCAAGATTGTGCAACGTGAGGGAAGTTGAGAAGAACTGTGATGGATGTGATGGTCAAGAATAGGGTGAGGAAGGGATTGATTTTAATATACGAAAGAAGATTAGTTAGATGGAGGTGGTGATGAAGGCGTTGCTGTTCTTGCTGCAATTCACAAAGAATTTTTTGAAATTGAGATAGAATAAATAAGCTGAAGTTGATGAAAATGTAAAAATTATTAGATTTATTATGCTAAGGGTCTGAAAATGTGGCGAGTTGTTTGGCAAGGTATTTTTTGATTTGAAAGCACAAGCCACTCATGTAACAACCATTGGAATGACCCCGCAACAATGTTGTGTACCATAACGTTTATTATGACAATAAGACTATTGTAAGAGAAGCCAATGGCATGGATATTTTGGTCAACAACATGGATTTTTATTAATATATATATATATATATATATATATAGAAAGAGAGAGAAAGAGAGAAAAAAAAATTGAATTGATTCTAGCTTCTACTAAATGAATCCATCTAACAAAATTATCATTATATCCTTTCTCCTTCATATTTCTTATCCATGTTTTTAATCCTCCATCTTCATCTCTTGTCTCATATTCTTAGTCTCATTTCTTTGTCTTAGCCTTCTTCATCTATTCTTAATGCCCCTCTTTCATTCTTTCCACCTACAATCTTTGTTCCTTATTCTCCTTGTCCATCATTTATATTCATGTCCTTCATCCCAAGTAATTGTCGTTGTCATTTCTTTGTCGATTATATTCTAACTTTACTAAAATAGATTTATTCTAATATATTGTTTATGAAGGTTTTTTATTGAGAGTAATAATGGCAAGTAGTATAAGAGTTGTGAAGAAGCAATGAAATTGCTAGCACATTTTTATTATTTTTTTTTTCAACTTAGCTACTACATATAATTTTAATTGCATCAAAAGCATAGCATCTACAATACAAGGAGATAATAAAGGTAAAGAATTAAACCGACACAACATACTTATTCTTAAAAACAAGAATTTGATGAAAGCAAATAATTAAGTGGGATTTTTTTCAAAGAAGTATAACAAAATAGAAGTAACAAAATATGTGCATTAAAATGAAACTGGAATGGCTATTGCCAAAATATAAGAAAACTAAAGACTCTTGAATCCAAACTAGAGCAAAAAAAAGTTGATAAGATTAAAGAAGGCTTCACCATTGCTTCTATATATACTATCTAGTTAGAAACTACGTAATGATGTTCTATAAAACCTCCAATATATATTGATTTTACAAGCCACATGTCTTAATTTGTAAGGTAAGTTTTATATTAGTGCACTACACAATTAGCTTGTTCCACAAGCTACTTATACATATGGCTAATTTGTTGACTAAGTTTTTAAGCTAAAAATCAACTATAAACACATGTAAAGCCAAAACCGTATCTATGAAGCTTCTAAAAAGCTTTTCTATAAGATATTATGGAATTAATCTATTTTTATTTACTTCTACTTAATCATATTGTTAATTATTAAAATATGTATATCTATAATATTATCCTTTCTTCTAGGAACAAGTTCCATAAGGCACGATCATTATATGTTAAAAAAATCTAAGATGCAACAAATTGTGTTTGCTACATATTTTTATCTTTATTTTATTTTAAATTGGTTGATAGGTCCTCTTATCCATTGATAATATCTCATACCAAGGCAAAAAAATCACCATATTATTTAATTGTTTTTGAGGCCTTCATTACTTCTTTCAAATAAAACATTTGGAACATCGTCAAGACTTGTTCCTACCTCTAATAAAATCACCAAACATCAAAACTTTCTTCCAAGGTCATGATATCAAATATATTGTCATATTACGTGAAGTCTTGCTTGAGAATGCATTGGGCACTTGGCTGTAGAAGATAAAAAGAATTTGCAACAACAAGTCCTAACTACTAAAATAAAATTGTATATAAATTGCTATAGAAGCTTAACATACATAATCAAATATCAATTAAGTCCAATTATTATTTTATTTTATTTTATTTTATTAAAATAAATTATTAAAAAATAGAAGAAAATCCTAAAAAATCTTAAAGAATCCTATTAAAATCCTAAAAATTTTCTAAAGAAATTCTAAAGAAACCTAAAAAAATCTTAAAAAATCCAAACCAAATCCTAATCCAATCAAAATCTAAATCCTAACCAAATCTTAATCAATTTTTTAAATCTCAAATAAACTTCTAATAATCTTACAATAGATTTTAAAATTCAATAACTAATATTTGAACCATTGATTTAAACTCAATTTTTGTACATTTTTTACTAATTAAATTAAAAATAAGTAGATATTTTTTTGAAAAGGATCAAAACTATCAAATAGACAATAATCTAAAAAATGTGTTTAGGTGTCGGCTGGCATTTTTCTCTAATATTGATGCCAATCTCCTAAAGCCAATTCATCATGATTGAACTGTTACTTCCTTTCCAAACTTTATATACATGTTAGAAAACAAATTGACTACCTTTGTAAAAAAATTACCTCAATCTAATAGGCAGATTGACAGATATCTAAAAAAATCTTAGTAGTCCTGAAAATCCTAAATTTTGAGACCATAATCCACAAAAACCTTCATGCTTTTCAATCTAACCATTTGATCAAATCCAAATTCACAATACATATCAAGCACAACTACATCCATAAATCTAGAAAATTTCATTTATAGATCTATTACCAAATACTTAAAATTACCTAAAATATCAATCCTATTTTATTTTCAAAAAACTATAGTCATTAAAAATAACATTGACTTTGCAAAGCTTTTATCAAGTCATTCTCCATCCAAAACCCTCAAGATCAATGCCTATAGAAATCCTATGAAGTTTTCTCTCTAATTTCATTCTCCAATCAACCAAAAAATCTTAAAATTGTAGTGAAGTCTTAATTTTGTGCCTCGAGATTTGATTTTGATTGTGGTTGATAGCCGATCTTCTTTGAGTATCAATTTTTGTTTTTTTTTTAGATAAATTCTATTAAAATCAATTCTTAATTCCTTCTTATTTATACCACTAAATTTTATTTTTCTAATTTATTTTATTTTTTCTTATTTATGGTCCTATAAAATAAGTGAAAGTCACTTTTTGAAAAAAGAAACATTACTATTAAAAGTTTTATTACCTTCCTATCTTTTATTCATATTTTTTTACTTTATCTTTTAACTTGGTTCTTCTATAATAAGATCCATATTATTATCTTTTACCATATAGTCATGTTACAACACGACAACATTATATCTCACTACGTATTCAAGGAAGAATATATCATTCTTGAGGATCTTTATCTTGATTACGTTGTCTTGAAGGTTGACACAATTACAATGTTTTATTTGGCAAGTCAAAAAATGATAATTCTTAAGTTGAATTTACTAGTTGTTGGTTTTCCATCTCCTTAGTACTATAATATATATAAAACTATAAACAAAGATAAAAGGTTGAATATTATCTTCTCTTCATTTTATTTCTTTTATGGCAAAGATTTGTTATTTTTCATCTAAATTTTGATAGATGTCATTGATAAAAAGCCTCTACCTTCTTTATTGTATTTATAAGATTCTTTGTTGGCTCCTATGTATATTTACTAATATCATATCCATACCAATAAATAAGATATTTCAACCTATTTTAATGCCACTTTGAATCTAAGACTTCTTCTACCTCAAATTCTTTATTATTTTTCACTTTTATAAGAAGAGGTGGCATGTGTTTTCTTTTTGCTATGTTCATTGTTTTGTATGATTCAAGAAGATCCAATGGAATATAAAATGGATCTTTATTTTGATTCAATAATTATAATTGATAAGAAATTGAATTGATTTGTTTACAAATAGAAAAAGGTCTAAGCTTATCATAGTCTAATTTATCATAAGAGTGAGTAGTTTTGATGCTAAGACAAAATAATTATACCTTATCATGAATATTGAATTCTGGTTGTTCCTTGCAATAAGCATTTATATTTATCTTTTGTCATTCTTGAGCTTTTTTTAATTGTACCTTCATTGTTGCATGTAACTTTGACAAATGATTTGCCAAATATTTTGCCATAGAATTATCAACTTTAAAAAAATCAAAAGCATCAAGTTGTAGATGATAACCATAATTAGCAAAAAAAAAAAAATTAATGAATAAAAGTATATATCATGTTATTATAGGCAAACTCTACCAATGGCAAATAAATTGTCCAATTATCTTATTGGTAGTTGATTTTACACTTCAAATATTACTCCAAAACTTGATTAACACACTCAGTATATCCATCAGTTTAAAGATGAAAGGTTGACAATAACTTTATATCTAACTTTAGAATTTTGAAAAAAAATTCCAAAATCTTGATACAAATTTGAATCTCCCTATCCGATATAATATCTTTGGATAATCCATAATAGTAATAAATATTTTCAAGAAAAAACTTAATTTTTTATTTACTTGTGATAGATTTTTTAGATATTACAAAAAGTACCATTTTGGTAAAAAAATCTAATATCACAAATATAGAATCATATAAACTTGAGATTAAAACTTCCATGA